TAAGTCATTTTCCATTGTCAACTCGTTTCTGTAGTCCTAAAATACTTTGATTTGAGGTTCCACCTGATGTTTCCTTTCACCTCTTTCACCTGATGCCAACCTCTCAGAATATATTTCTTTAAGCACTTTAGTGTAGCATCACATTCACTTTCTTTCTTCAGTTCATAAATTTTGTCATCAAATGCTGGAATCAGCGTACAAATTTCTGTATCTTCATTATTATCTTCTTCTGTTGTATTCAAATATGCTCTACTCAAAGTGTCTGCTATTAATAAGTCTTTACCCTTTTTGTATCGTACATCTAGATCATATTTTTGTTAATTTAACAACATTCTTTGCAGTCGCTGTGGTGCTTTAAAAAGAGGTTTCTTAGTTATGATTTCTAATGGTCGATGATCAGTTTCAACTGTAATACTCTTGCCATATATATATATATTGATGAAATTTAGAACATCCAAAAGTAATAGCTAAAAGCTCTTTTTCTATCTGAGCATAATTTTTTTGACTTTTCGTTAGAGCTCTGGAAGCATAAGCAATTGGTTGGTTTTCTTGTAGTAAAACAGTACCCAATCCTTCAGAGCTTACTTCCTTATTAACATCATAGAATTTTAATACGGCTTTTGCAACCAATTCTTTAAGTGTTTTGAAAGCTTTTTGATGTTTTTCAGTCCAGTGCCAGAGAACATTTTTCTCAACTGTCTTAAATGTGCAGTAATAGTAGATAAGTTAGGAATAAATTTGGCTAAATAATTTATCATTCCCAAAAAGCTTTGTAGCGAAGGCACATCTGTAGGTTCTGGCATTTTAACAATTGCTTCCACTTTAGAAAAATTAGGTTTTAGTCCATTTTCACTTAACTCATGCCCTATATAATTCACACGATGAACTTTTATTTTACATTTAGCCTTATTGAACTTCAAATTATTTTCTCATGCTCCTGAAGTACTTTTTAAGTCGTAGTTCATGTTCCTTTTCATTAGATCCCCATATTAAGATATCATCTATAATACATTCAACGCCTTCTAGACCTTCTATTATTTGGCTTAATTTTCTTTGGCAAATTTCTATTAAGAGCTGAACATATGCCAAAAGGTAATCTTTTAAATTTGTATCTGCCAAAATTACTACTTTCTTCGTCAAGCTGGATTTGCCAAAAAGCACCATTAGCATCTAAAACAGAAAATATTTTTGCCTTTGGCATTCTAGTGACATCTTCGTTAACGGTTAACATAGGATAATGTTCTCGTTTTATAGATTTATATATTTTATTTTATATATTTCTCGTTTTATAGATTTTTCTCGTTTTATAGTTCTCGTTTATTTAAATCTCTGGGATCTAAACATATTCTTAGTTTGTTCGGTTTGACAACTGTGACCATTGAATTTACCCATTCACTTGGTTCTCTCACTTTCTCAATTACATTTAAATTTTCCATTCTTTGTAATTCTTTCTTCACTTTATCTCGTATAGCTATGGGTATTTTTCTAGGAGGGTGAATTACTGGTGTTGCATCTTGTTTTAACTGGATTTTATATTCGTCATTCAAACAACCTAAGCCTTCAGATACATCTTTGTATTTCTCCAGTAAGTCTTCAGTGTAAACAGACATTACTTTTTGAATCAAACCTAGTTGCAAACATGATTTTAATCTTAATATAGAAGGTACTTCTTTGCCAATAACTTGGAATTCCACAACATAATTATTTTTTCCATATTGGCAGTTAAGTACTACTTTTCTTAAAGTATCCATTTTATTCCCAGAGAATGTAACTAATCTTTTAATTTCAGACTTCTGTATCGGAACATTTAGCAATTTCACTTTGCTTTTAGAAATAACATTGCACATTGCTTCAATATCTAACTGCAAATTTAGTTTACTTTTATTTACATTAACGCCAACAGTCTATTTCTCTTCCTTGTTATCTGAATTAAGGTTTAATGTGCCGACATACAATTCTAACTCTTCCTCACAGTCATGATTTATTAATTTAATTTGTCTATCTTTTTTGTTTACCCTGACTGCTTCATTTTTATTATATAGCTTTTACACTGATTCGCGAAATGATTTGCCTTTTTACACTTATGACAGATTTTTCCATATGCTGGACACTTTCGATACTCATGAGATGTTCCAGATTTAGAACAAACATTTGTCTGTTGTTTCTCGGTATTTACCTCTTTGTAGGTATTCTTATTATGTTTACTTAGTTTCTTTTTCACTAAGTTTACAACAGTTTCCTCATATTTTATGATTTTCATTTGATGTGCACTTATTTCAGTAGATCTGCATATATTAAGAGCTTTTTCTAATGTTAATTCTGTTTCATGTAACAATCTTGCTCTCACTACATCATCTTTAATACTGCAAACGATTTTATCCTTTATTAAACTATCCGTTAATTGGGTAAACTCGCATGTTCGAGCTTTTTTGAAGATCAGTTACATATTCATCTATGGTTTCTGACGCGGTTTGATTTCTAGTAAAGAATTACTGTCTTTCATATGTAATGTTTTTCTTAGGAATACAATATTCTGTAAATTTTGTCTGAATTTCGCTTAATTTAATTTCTTTACTCTCGTCTATAGGAAATGTATTATATATTTCAAGACCACGAATTCCTATTACACGAAGAAAAGTATTAATTCTTACTCTCTCTTCTTTATTTTTTTTTTTATGTAATCCACTAGCTACTTCATATATTTCGAATGATTGCAGCCGTCTTTGCCAATTTGAAGCAAGATTTCTATCAAATTTCATCGGCTCTGGTGGTTTTAAACTTTCCATTTTGAAAGCAAAATACTCCTGACACCATATAGAATAATGAGGGTGCACATTTAGTTTTTATAAATATTTATTTATAATAATAGAATGTATAATATTACAGAGACCTGCAATACCAGCATTGTTCTATTTTCATATCAGTATCCAAAGTGTTGCCAATTACAAGTTATTAAATATTAAATGTTGCCATTTACAAATTATTAAATAATATACTGTGCGGTCAAGTCCAGAGGCGGAGTACCTGTGAGCCTTTGAAAAGCTGTGGTAGGAGTGGTACGGTATCCCTTTTTAATTAACAGCAGGTGAAGTCGCGGAATTGTTAGAAGTAATTTTCGCTCATGTTTAGTAAGCGCAGAAGCCCAAATACCTGATCCATAGACAGCAATCCGCACCGTTACTGTGTTGTACCATTGTTTGAGCAGTTTTAGGAGACTATATATCATATTGTTGAATGGAAACAAGAGATTAAATAATTCACTTTACAAGTTTATCTACATTACAAACAATAAAAGCGTGGAGCGTCCTTGATAATAATACACACGTAATTACTTTTTATAATTTAACAATTTTATTTGTAAATAACAGTAATTTTGCCAAGATTATTTGCGTACGAATAATTTAAAAACCTTACGATAACTTAATTTGGGTGAAAATAATACACTTTTCGTAGTGCTATGAAAACTTTCACACTACTTTCATACTTACTGCGAAAGGTGTATGGAATGAATTTTTAAGGATGCTTGCCAAAAAGAGTACCTGCATTTAAATTGCCTGTTTGGCATCGCCTTATTGCTCGAGTAAACGACGAAACACCTTCGTATTTATTTCTTAATTATTGTTCATTGAACGAGAGTTGGTTTGTTCCCCTTGAAAATTCAACTAATTTCCGATCAATGGCAATGATTACTTGCATTTAATTTAATTACTTGCTTTTAAATTATTCCTTTTGCAATTGAAATTTTGTTATTCATGATTTAATTCAAGTCCCCGTTAAACATTTTTAACAATTTACATTCAAGTTACTTCAAAACATCTTTCGAAATAGAACTTACTAAGTATGGATATACTCTTTTCAGATAATTCTACTATAATTAATCTTAGGAGATAATATAATCAATATTATTTAGTAAATAAATTAACTTACTTTGCAGCAATTGCGCAAGTAGTAGAACAACTCGATTTCGCAATTGCGCAAGTAGTAGAACAACGCTAAGTGAATTTAAGATCATTTTTCATAATAAGTATACTTATTATGAAAAGTACGAAATGAATTTAAGAGATTCACGCCCGAAAGAATGTATTAGAAACATGAAATTTAATGAACAATGATTTTCACTTCCATCATATTTAAATTCTTATGTAAAAAAAAAAATACTTTAAAAACATTGGGAAATTTACTACGGTTTACGTATCCAATATTGAAAGTATCTTTACTTTGAGCACAAATTAGATAATTCTTTTTAACATCTGCTTCTCAGACTAGTTTAATCTGTTGAAGCACTGAAAATTTTGTTTTGAATTTCATCTTGCAAAGAATATTCACCTGTAAATTGTGGCTTAGGAAGGAAATGCCTCTCAGACACCACACTAATTAATGTTTTAGACATTCACCATTCACTTAGTCTGTCTATCTTGCAAGTTAGTTAATACCATGTCTCAAAAAGCTCAAATCTGAGAAGCATTAAATGTTAACTCGACAAAAATAAAAGATCTTCGCGCCAAACTGAATCTGCATCCTTTGCACGGCGGATCAAATGCTGGAAACTAGTAGCTGAAGTCGGTTTCATATCTCGGCTCATGATCTGCGCATTTTTGTAGTTTTCTCTGTGTGTAATGTGTATATGAGCTCTGTCCTTTAGAATGTCCTTGTCAAAGTCATCCCTTTCTGTAGACTAAGTGTATTTTGCAATAATCGAATAATCTGCCCTTCTTTGCACATAAGACTATCGAATGCATTATAAGCATTTATGTTACGTTCTGTACAGAGGATTTTCTGAACTTTCGGTATCACGTACGTATTTTTGCAAATGATACTACTATTAATATTTAGGAAAGAGGTATGTCTGTTTCTGAATTCGAACTCTTCGTGGGGACTTATTTCTGTACTTAATTCAGTTTTGTTAATTCATCCCATAACAAAAAATTAAAGAGTTTATGCAATGTAATGCTCATAAAATTGCAGATTTGTATGAAATGTCAATATTTTAAACTTGTTTAATTCCAATAAACGGTTTGTAGTGAATACTGCAATAAAATGCATTTATTTTCAGTTCTTCTTTTGTGTCGGCAGCTTTTTTGGCCCTGATGATACTGAATGGCAGAAAGTAATTTCTCGTGATATAACTAGTAAGAACAACTTTCTATTATATTATTCTCTTTATATTTATATTTATATTATATTATTCTTATTTTATCAATCTTTCTATACATGTATTAATATTACTTATTCATTGCACCAAAACATTTCTCTCCTTTCTGATCAATTAAAGGTAATTTATTAATTTTCCAATAAATCGTTTTATATCTTGTATGCTATAGAAATTAGAAATATAGTCAAGTCTTGATGTGTAAATGTATATTTATTTTCCATTCTGCATTTTCGTTGTCCTTTTCTAATCTTTATATTGGTGTTATTTTGTTTTGAAATTATAATTTTTCAGAGAGGAAAGAAACGAATAATGAGTTTAAAAATAATTTAATGCGTAATTTTCGTGCTTGTACATGTTGATGCTAAATAAAAGGAACAGTCTCTAAATGTATAAATAAATAAAAATCTACATGGTATTGTAATGCAATCAAAACTTGAAAGTGTGTCATTCTTAGGACAGGTCGACTGATGGGGGAACTTCTGAAACGGAGCTAAAATTTTATTCACTTATGTATCTGTTTTACTTTGTTTTAAAATAACGGCAACTAATTTTAACCATTTTAGAAAACAAAACTTCCCCTCTTAATGTGTGCGCAACGTACCATTATTTTTATTTGTTGTGAGGAGTATTCCCCCTTTTGAAATCATTGAATCACCTGTAAATTGTGATTTGGGAAGGATATTATCTCAAAATATTTGCAAATGCTTAAGACATCCACTATTCATTCAGTGCATCTATAAAGTCTTGAAATACCATGACTCAAAAAGCTCAAAATTGACGAGGAAGGTCTTAACCTTGAAATTCAAATTTTTGTGATAAAAAAAATATACCGGATGATTAAAAAATATCTGGTTAAAGTATAAAACCAGGTAGAGGAATCGAATAAACATATTTTCTAATGGAATGTGTGTGCGGAAATAGCTTTTTGAGGTAGTGTAGGGTGGTGTTGAGAGGTAGGTAAAAAGCTTTTTGCTGACATAACTTTGCATTCTCAATGCAAATTTCGAGGGGTATGTGTCGTTACTTGAATGCGGAACCTCTGAGATACATTTTATCTCTGGAGGCTACTGCAAAAATAGAGAAGCTACTCTAAGGAAGGTGACTGAGGCTCAGTTTTACCTTAATTCTAATTAAACATATTTTAATATACATTACTTAAATACTCTCATATTCAGTTAAATTAACTCATTGAGTCTTAAACTCTTAAATTAAATATTTACTTGAATCAATAGTAATCTCAGTCCTAAAAGAAACACGAATACTGCAGAATGAACTGACTCCGTCTCCCCGCAGTCTTTACTAAAGCTCTTCCCCCCTCAACGCTTCCGAACTTTTCGCCTCTCGGTTCTTCGGTCAGTGACTCTTTATCAAGGCTCTTAGCAAACGCTATAACCATTGAATCTGTTTGACCTTTCCCGAAGCAGTTGTAGCGATTTTAGCTGTAGCAATTTTTATTGGTAGCGTGATTGAAAATAAGGTAAGTGTTAAATTTCACAAATTGAATTTTAAGGTAAGTTCAACTGCTTATCATAACAAAGTAGTTTTGCTTAGGCAAAGTAGTCCTTTTCCAAAAGGAAACGATAATCACTTGAGTTCAAACAAAGTCGAAAAAGGTAGCGGAGAAAAAGTCCGGCTACGCTTCTTTGAGAGTTTTTTCCCCCCGCTCTTGACAGAGCTTAGTAGCGACTCGGGACAAGCCATAAAAAAACACAAGAGAGAAAGGGCTCTCTAAAGCTTACTAGCGACTCTGGACAGAGCCGTAAAATACAAGAGAAAGGCTCTCTTCTGTACGCAACGACTACGTATTCTTCAGACTAAAAAACTCTCTAATTATTTTCCACTCACTGTTTTTATGTCTAGGTTTTCTTGGGCGTGTCTTGTGCGTCTGCTGCAGTGATTCGCTAAACGTCTTTTTCGGAGCATCTCTCCATTGGTCAACAGGCGCTGATTGTTCTCAGATACTGTCTTGACAGCTGAGAAACTGAAATTTTCCGTGGGAAATTCAGAATGTCTTTTTGGGAGGTCTATCTAAATTATTTCGAGAAACAGGCAGTTGGCGACAGTCTGTCGCATACACACAATGGACACTCCACAACCCGTGAGAACTTGTACGAAAGTTTTCTCCTTTCGTAAAAACAATATGCTTTCCGCACTTTGTTGGGGGTCACACTCGACCTCAAGAATTCGTAAGTGTCATCAGGGTGGTCATCTGGCGCCCATTTGAAGTCTCCTTTACCCAGACTTCGTGGGAGCCCGTGGGAAAATAGCTGACGACGTTACACAGTCTTGGACTCGTTTCTCCCTCTGATATTGATACTCTGCATCCATTTCACGCTGACGCGTGCCGGGTTGCCTGCCCCCTTATCTTTCTTCTATCTGTGTTAAGTCACTCCGAGCATCACCATCGAGATAGATGACGATGGTGACGCTCCGGGCAGCTTGCGACCCGCGCTGTGAATAACAACAGGTCTGACCTTTATACTCCGTGCAACAGCTAAACGCTCTTTGTCTGTCATGGAGGACTGTCTTATCGATTTCATAGCCCATCGGCTCTCTTTTCCTCTTCTTTAGCGCATGCTTTTCTGAACCATTTTATATTTAATAACGATGATGTGGAGGTTTTTGCATTTATTTGAAAAGGTACTCCGTAACATAACGCCTTGGTCCTCATGCTCACAGTTCCAAGTACCTCCTTTGATCAGTTGCTCTGTTTTCGTTTGCAGCTCCATAGATTAAAGCGACCGCATTTTCATTGACACGCAGCGGGACAAATGGAATGAAATGAGAATTGTAGTTTAGTTATGAAAGCAGATGAATAATTCAAAAAAATATATCTTATTATATACATTATGTATGTATGGAATGAAATGAGAATTGTAGTTTAGTTATGAAAGCAGACGAATAATTCAAAAAAATATATCTTGTTATATAAATAAGATACATAGTGATTATGTATCTTATGTACATTCATATACTTGTCTATAAATATACAAAAATATATTTATTATTAACTATTGGTAACTATAAAAATATTTGTAAAAAAACAATAATTTGAATATTATGTTTTTCATTAATTTAAAATTTTATTTAAAAAAAATATGATTTTCTTTCACGGTCATACTTTTTATCCGTGCGAATACTTTGCAATAAATTCGGATAATTTATTATTAAAATGTCGTGAAATTTCTCTCATGAATTGGTCAAATTATATTTTACGCTTAATACAGATTTTAAAATTTTAATATTGAACTGCGTTTTTTCAATTGTCCATATTTTATTGATACTAGAAAAAACACGTTCTGTTGCTGCATTTGTTTCTGGAAGGGAAAGTGCATGTTTTACAGTTTTCAAAATAGTTTCATAAAGAATATTATTCTGTTTAAAATGAAGGAATAACTCCATCCATTTTTTGTCTGTTTTCACATTTGCAGACAACCAACATTTAATTTTTTCATCAGTAACTTATCTTTTTACCAATGACACCTCACCAAAAAGATCCTTTTTTGCAAATATTATTTTTTGGAAAATGGTTACCAATATATTAAAAGATTTTTCCACATATTCCCATAAAATCTCCTTTTCTAATGTCACCCAATGAAAATACAGTCAAATACCGAAAATCCGCCATCCTGAAATCCGCGTTGCCTCTCAAAATATAAACATTTAGTTTATAGGTTCCGGAACTGCAACATGGAGTACGAAACAGGAGTTAAAAGAGAAGGGCTAGCTCATAGAGCTTTTCCCCCTGAAACAGGCAGTGGGGAGTGATGACGTAGCTATGATGACACTGAGCGTGGAGATGCAATTGACAACATAGAAATTAGTGTTTTTAATTTGAAGAACCAGCTTTTAAAATGAGCTGTGTGTGAAAGATAGCTATAATTTAGAAGAGACAATGTTACTGCAGTATGCATTTTACACTGAACATTAAAAAATTTAATAGTACTTACTCAATTTTAAAATAACAGATAAAATGCGCTACTCTTAGCATAAAGTTTTTTTTTTTTTAAATTTGCAGGGATTTTTTTCCTTTAAATGCCTGTTTATTTCTAATCATTTCTTTAGCTGCATGTTAACTAAGAGAACTGTACTACTGTTTCTAAGATAACTATAATAACAGCTATTTAAAATTAATCAAGAAACAACCTTAAATTGTCATAGTTTTCAAAATTTCTGCTAATCTAAGTTTAAGTTTCAGCCTAATTGTAAATTTTACATTGGCATATTTTCTCCTGATTCAATATAATAACATATATTTTTTAAAATAATTTTGTAACTTAACATAAATATTACATTTAAATAAATGCATGAAAGATTGTTATCCTAATTTAGACAAAACAACTTTACTCACAATACCTAAAAAAATTATTTAATTTTTCAAAAGTGGGGGTTAAGGAGGCAGGTTTTCTTATGCCAATTACTTTAATGTTATATTATTATATTTTATCTGGATTGCTAAGCTAGCACAAAATCGAATCAATAATAACACAGGATACAATAAAAATAACTTTAACTTTACAAAATTAGTTCTCATTTGAAATATGCTTTACGCTATTAACTTCTAAAATGTCATCTAGAAATATTTCAAATCAAAACATATTATGTATGGTTATTTGTACAGTCACAATGCAACTACAAGTTGTTGAGGCCCACCAGCGGCCGAGTGGTAAGTCGCTGAACACTGGTAGTTCGATCCGAGGTTCGAATCCCGCGAACAGGCTGGCTGCATGGGTGTTTTCGTGCTTTTCCCCATGTGTAACGTGTATATGAGCCAATTTTCCTTAGAAAGTCCTCCGCGAAGGCATCCCTCCCCTTAGGCAGATAGCCCTCGTGTGCTTTGCCATAATTAAATACACCAACACACCAACAAGTTGTTGAAATATTATTCATTGGCTACCACATTCGAAGCAATCCACTTTTTTGCCTTTTAAGTTGCTTTTCTTTGGGAAAAAACATATGCATTTCTATTTAAGAAACATATTCTACATAGCTCTTATGACAATGCAACATGAAATATTTTCACTTGTCCACCTTATTTTTTCCTAGCAATGCGTCAATCTGCAACGTTGTAAAAATATGATTTAGACGTTTTTCCAAATTCTCTGATCTGTGTTGTTTTTTCCTAAATTTCGCTGTTTGGGATTTTAATTTCTGAAATTCCATTACAAATTTCTTTGCAGATTTCGTCCACCTTCTTTGTCGCTGAACAAACATTCATTTTATAAAATTTTTCTTTTCTCTATTTTTTCAATATTTTATTACAATTTTCTAAGGATATTATTTTGTTCTTCAAATTATCAATACATTCTTGTTTATCTTTACACTTAGGTCATTCAGGGCTATTGTCACTTAGGGCATTGTCACTTGTGAATTTTATTTCAAAATCATTCACATTTGATTTATTATTGTCAGCTTGAATTTCGTTCTCGGCCTCAAAGTAAATTTTCTTTGGGCTTAATTCGTGTAGTCTTTCAAAAGCACTCTGCATTAGTTTTCTTTTCAAATGTCTCTTATTTCTTGGTGTTATTTAATTACTGCACATGATAAATTTACTTTCGGCACAGCGTTGCATTTCAACAGTTTCTATTGCGGCAATCCAAGCGAGCGATTTCTCATGTGATCTTCATAATCACTGCACAGAAAATGTTCGCCACAAATTCTTGCTTTTTTCACATTAATAAAATCCTGTCTTCGACATTTATCTATCCATTCTTTCGACAAAAGCAAATTGTCCTTTGGGAAAGCATGAAATACAATATCTCTTCCTTTCGTATTTCTATAAGTGTTACGACACGTTGCTGCAGCACAAGAAGCCATATTACATAAAGGATACTTTAAATATAGAATTTAAAATGAAAACTGACTAAAACTATATATATAGATATACACAAATTATTAGATATTTGCATTATTAGAAAACAAATATGTATGACTAAAATTAATTTGAGATATGCGAACTCCAGAAAATTGTCTCACAACGCAAGTGAATGAAACTACAGTTTTAAATGTGGAAAATCAGAGCAGGTGCAACACAGACACGCCAGATTACTTCACCCCCTCCATAAGGCTCACGTTGGCGAGGAGTCAAACAAAGGAATGACCTAGCCTTTCTATTTATCCCTGAGTACGAAATATCAAAGAAAAAATACTTACTGGATAATTTTTGGAATTATATATTTACAATTTGGAAATGGAATGGAATTATATATTTGGAATATATACCCATAAAATTATTCGCAAGGCTTTGGAATGCAACACCACAATGACCTTGACAAAGTATGCAAAGAAGGATATTATTTCAGAGAAGTGTAGGAAGAAATTGGAGAGAGGGGTGTGTCTAAAGCGGTGAAAGTAATGACTGCGCGGCATTGACTGGTGTTGTTAGGGTAAAACATATTTTTTTTTAATTCTGTGATCTCAGTTTTCGTTTACTTTTTGTAGTAGGTTTCAGGAATAAAGAAATCTTTTTGATGATTTCTTTTCTTATATCTTCTTGATGTTTTCTTTTTTGAATTATTTTTTGATGAACTGCTCGTGCTTCATATTGTTACTGAAACTAACCATTTTGTAGATGAGTATATAAACCAACACCTTGCAAACGAAAAATCAAGAACAAAATTGTGGCATTCAACCCGTTCAGAAGAAATATATGTTTTTTTAGGCATACTGATTTCACAAGGTATAACACTGAAACCTGATATAGTACAAAGTCCGTGATCCGGTTGTCCATTATCCGGAATAATCTATAATCCGGACCTCAAAGCTACAAACTTTTTTTTTGTATGCCTTACGCGTTTAATGTATAACGGACGGTATAAGCTAGTCTAAAATTATCTTTACTGATTCTAAGGCATTTCAGTTAATGTTGCAGATTAACTGAAATGCCTGTTCCTTAATCTTCTAATTGGATCCGGCTTATTATTTTTTGCAGACTGTTAGAACACTTTAAAAAAAAATTAAGCTTGAACTTTCGATTATGTCAAAAAGAGTTTCCAATTCTGGAGCTGCCGAAGGATCTACAAAGCGAAAACACGTTTCGATATCCATCAAACAAAAAGTGGAATTGCTGCAAAAAATGGATAAAGGCATATTTGTCTCAAAATTATGCGAGGAGTATGACATTAGAAAGTCAACTCTATATGACATAAGAAAAATGAACTTTTTGAATTTTTTGTAGATTCTGACACCTCACTTGCAATGAATAACAGAAAAAGGGTTCGTTATGCTAAAAATGATGATCATGACAAAGTGATGATTGAATGGGTCAGACAGCGTTGCAGCGAGGGCGTGCCATTGACGAGTCCAAATACCAAAATATTTCATGAAGAAATGAACTTAAACACTGAGTGCACATGTTCGACAGGTTGGTTAACCAAATTTAAAAATTGCCATGGTATAAGACAATTAAAAATTTCAGGTGAAAAAGCTTCAGCTGATACTGAAGCTGCTGAACAATTTGCAGATGAATTCGTTGAACTCATTACTAGTGAACAATTATCTCCAAAACAAATTTACAACGCTGATGACAACGCAGCGTCTTTTCTGGCAATATGTACCGCGAAATACCTTGGCAACCTCTACAGGAAACGCTGCAACTAGTGTCAAAGATTTCAAAACGAGACTAACAATTTTAGCGTTCGCAAATGCTGCAGGAACGCACAAGTGCAAACTTTTCGTAATCGGATGGATTGGGTTATTCAATTATGGCAAAACACACGAGGGCTATCTGCCTGAAGGGAGGGATGCCTTCGTGGAGGACTTTCTAAGTCAAACTGGCTCGTACACACGTTACACATGGGGAAAACCACAAAAACGCCCATGTAGCCAGCCCGTTCGCGGGATTCAGACCTCGACCGAACTACCAGTGTTCAGCGTCTTTACCGCTCGGCCGCTATTTCGTAATCGGAAAACATTTTCCCCGTTATATATAGTGGAAATAAAAAGAGCATGGATGACACAAGCGTTGATGAATGATTGGTTTGAAAATCATTTTATACCCAAGGCTTGGCGACATTTGAATTCGGTTGGTTTACCTGATGACTTAAAAATAGTCCTGATTGTTGACAATTGTTCGGCGCATACTTCACTTAAAGTTTTAGTGAAAGATAATGTGTTCGTTTTATTTTTCCCTCCAAATTGTACGTCTATCATTCAGCCTATGGATATGGGAATAGCACGTGCTGAAATGCAAATATATAGTAGCATTTTAAAAATATATGTTAAATTTCTTGAACAATGGCAAGCCTATTCAAGACGTTTAGAAATTTTTTAGCATAAAATCTGCTGTCGGAAGATCGTAGGAGGATGTGTCTCCAGATACGTTAAAAAATGCTTTGCATAATTTATGGCCAGCTACCATATTTCATGGTGAGGACGATGAAGATGATATTGCGAATTTGAAGGTTTTCGGACATCGCAAACTAAAGGTGAAATTTTCCAGTTATTGGATTTTGTAAAGAAATGTGGAGAAATGTTAATAAATGAACATGATATAACAGAAGTTTTTCATTGCGACGACAATGCCCCAATCATCAATCAATAACTGAACGGCGAAATCTGTAGTATGGTTCTAGATCCACTGCTACCGATAGTGAAGAAAGTGACAGAGAAGTTACTGAAAACGAGAAAATTTTGATTGATAAGTTAGTCGGAATTCTCGAAACAGCAGTTACAGGACTTCAACAATGTGACTCAAGAGATTATGTCTATCTACAGAATTAATGAGAAAGTATTAGCACAAAAAACGAAGCAACTTAAAAAACTTACATTGAAAGAAATGTTTAATAAAGTAAACAAATAAATATTAAGCTTTTTTTTTTTTTGTAAATTTTGATACCCTTTAAATCATAATTGCTCTTTATTTCATAAATTACAGTTTCATAGTTTTAATTGTATAATTTCTGCATGCCATCTTACCAAATTTAAATTGATGATCTATAATCCGGAGAAACCCCTAATCCGGAATCGGCAAAGTCCCGACGAGTCCGGATTACGGACTTTGTACTGTATTACACTTTACTGGTTTAAAAATGAATTGATCGAAACTCCATTTTAGGGATCTTTTTTATTATAAAAACATCATTTTTATTATACTTTTACTCAAAACATTAAATTTTGTGCATTCATTTTTTTCTCTTATTCTTTATTTTGTGAAAGGAAACAGTTTTTAGAAAGTAAAACTTGCACTTATATAATCCCTAATACATCGTATAACTATGCGCGTCTGTGTGAAAAACCGTGGCACTGGGAAATGAATCTTGTACGATTTCCGCGGCAGTTTAGGGGTTAACGAGAGACTACGGAAATTCTAGTTACTGAAGTCTTGTTCAATTAAAGTAGTACAAGGTTAATATTTAGTAATAGATAGAAGTTTTGCAAAGTATGGAGAAAGTTAAGAAAATGTTGTTGAATGGAATATGATAGCTTGCCTCAAATCTGAAAGCTGCTAGCCCTCGCGTGCTTTACCCGTAATCAAATTATGCCTCAGTACTGAACAAGGAAATTTGTCACCATAGTTAAAAAGGGGGGAAAAAACTGTAAACTATATTAAAATTTTTAAAAAATCGTTCAAAAAAATTGGATTGCTTTTTGAAATTGTGTAAAAACAGAATTGGGGGCATTCTGTATTCTAATCGCTTCATTGACTAAATTAATTGTTCTTTTTTAGACTCTGTTACTGAATCTTATACTGCTTAATGAATGTAGTTAAATTGTTTTGTAATTTCTAATTATTTTATGTCAGATTCTTATCCACCTTTTTTTTTCTTTCCAAATTTAGCACCTATTAATCCTACATATGTTCTTGGACCGAATCAAACTGAGCATGTCAAGTATTTTCCTATGGAGACTGGTCTAATAGCACCTGGCATTATGTTTTTGGGTAAGTGTATGTGTACTTAAAAGTACTTAATGTTTTAGAGGAAAACACAGTTAAATCTTAACTAAAGAAACCACCCATGTTGCTATATATGAATTTTCGCTTATTTAATGTGAAGTAAAATACTTATTATATTAGGCAAACATTTCATGTAGTAAATAGAACACATGTCTATCCATTACATATATACATTTACATCATTTGGTCAGTATTAAACAGTGACATAGATGGGGGGGAGCTTATTTTCTGGGTGGCAATTTTTGAGTGAATTATTTTATTTTTGTTAGTCAGGTGGATCATCAAAGTAGGTGAAGAACAATAAGGTTTTAAATTGCCAGATGGAATTGAATTGAGAAGAAAAAGAGTTTTCACTTTAGTTAAGGTAATAGCTACATATTTTGTTATACCATTTTTTATTCCATCGAAACTTTTTAATGCAAATTACGAATATAAACTAAATTATGATCATAGTTGACATTAATAAGGAAGAATTCCTCGTTAAGAAAGAACTATTTCAGAGTTTTATTTCCGTTACTATTTAAGAAAATGAAACAGGAATAGGGATGGGCAGTCCTTTTGAATTTTTGCAGTTTATTCTAAAATACAATCTCCAGAACAAATTTCCAAATCTTGAAATATTAGGGTGATCTTCCCTTTCTATTGCTGTAAATGCTCCTAGCTGTGAGAAGCGTTTTCTAAATAAAAATAATTAGAAATACAAATGTATATTTTGGATATAAGAAATCCTTTACAGTCTACATAACACCAAGAACAACCAAATAGATCACTACAATGTCCCTGATGGTTTTGCTAATGAAAAACATTTGATTTTAAAATATTGAAATTAAAGTTTTTCTTTAAAATTAAACATAGAGTTTTATTTCCATGCATGCCATTTTGATATTTTTTGTAGTTTTTTCTTTGTATATCAAGAGGACATCAAATTTAGGGACGTTCTGGGTGACAAAAGTTCTAGCTATGCTACTGGTTGTATAGCTTGACTGTGGTATTTATTGAACTGTGAAGCTTTATTATGTCTAGTCAACTTCCTATGTTAAACAGTATGAAATGTTTTTTATAAAAAAGTGGAATAGATATCAGGCAGTCATTTGAATCTGTTCATTTCTGTTTTATTGGAAAGCATACCAACAAATAAATAAATAAAACCACTATTACCTTATTTTATTTCTACTTTTAAAGGGAAGATACTATATAATAAATAAATCTATTTGTTATAATAAAAATATGTTTTGTTATAATAATAATAACTGTTTAAACTGCAGATCATTTGTTTTAAAATTTCATCCTAAATGTATTGATGCGACAAAGTGATTCAAACTCGGGAATTTGTCATTATAGGCGATCAAGGCGTGATGACTGCAGATTGTGGTTTAAAAATTGCCTATTTAAGCAGCATAGAACAACAAGGCAGCTATTTTGGATTTTCTAAAGAGAACGTTGATGAACTGATTAAAAGTGCTTCTGAAGTGAAAATTGATATGTTATTTACTTCACAATGGCCAGAGGGGATAAAAATTCATGCCAAAGAATCTGTATGTAGTATTTTTATATTTATTGTATGTATGGTAATTAAATAGCCACACAATTATTTGCTTCTAGAGTGCAGTTAAATTACAGTATGTTTTTTTTATTAACTTTTATTTGATTGATTTTATTTTCTGAACATGTAATAATCAGTTTTAGCATATACTGATTACTACATGTTTAGGGCTCTTAATTAGCTGGTTGACTTTTTCCTCTTTCAATGACATGTATATTTAAACTTGCTGTTAAATTATTTGTGTTTTAAATTCTTTTGTTCAACATATTAATGCAAAAGTGATAAAAGAATGTAAAGTAAACCTTGCTTCACCTAACTTCATTTAACCGGAATCCTACTTAATCAGAATGGGGAGGAGTATAACGATGATTCACTGATTGTGGAAAGTAGTCATTTGCAACTCCTGAAATAATTTCTTTCCATTGTTTCTTAATAAATGTCTGTCTGTGATCTTGATCCAGGAGACAGCTACAAGCCCCCCTACCATTCGTTGATATCTGTTACCCAAGTGCCAGTTAATTAAGGGTTGACAATATTATGCAATTATGGTGCTGCTGCCTCAATTCTGTGCATGCAAGGACACTACCTTAATGTACATATATAGCTGGATATATAGCCTTCTCTGAGCAATTGATAAAAGTAACATCATGGATAAAACTCACTATTTAGATGCCTTTTATTGAAAATAAGTAATAGGTACTAGGTAATTTTCAGACACACAAGTCAGTTCCTGAAATACTTCAAGAACTGGGTTCCATAGCATCAAAAGTATGGAGAGAGTACATAGATAGTGTAAAATGAAAGAGTAATTGGGCAAATTACTTGGGATAAGCAGCCTTGAATAATCATGATATTCAAAGTCTTAGCCAAATCGTACATAGCCGCTACACCAAACCTTAGTTCGGATGACCACCTGATATAATGAGGTGCCAGTCCAACAATCAGTAAGCATATTGTGCAACACTTGCTTCACTGGATTGCACTTCAGAAGCTGAAGACTCACCAGAGTAATACTTCTAACTACACGCCACTGCATACAATGTCTTGCATGGGCATGTCTTGCAAAAGCGAAACTGTTGACGATTGGAAATGAGTAGCACGGAGTTATGAGTCTTGATCCTGAGTGCATCAGGATGATAACCAGCTAAAAAATTGGCACAAGCCCCGTGGAATCATGTATTCAGCATGCCAGATTGGAAATGTAAAGGGTCATGATGGCTCAGTTATGATGTGTGGTATTTTTTCTTTGGCAGTGTTTGGGAACTCCGGTATTTATATCAAGGACCCTCATTACTTGCATTTACCTAGACTCTCACTATCTCACTTAGATATTTTCATGCTTTTCTACCATCTGGTTGAAAATATAATGTAGCAGCAGAACACCTGTTGATGTCACAGATTCTAGTTTACTACCACTTGGTTCACGGGGTATTTCATAGAATTCTTCCTGATGCAGAGTCTGATTTAAATCCCATTAAACACATTTGAGGTACACTGGAAGAGGAGAGGCTTGCATATCATCCACCGCTAACATTCTTATCAGATTTATAAGAAAATTTGAAGACGTTTGACATTTCATACCTCTGGAGCACTTCTGTAGACTTGTTGAATCCATGCCTTGTTATGTGGAATCCATTTTCAAAGCGAAAGAAGGCGGCAGCTCATTACTGATCACATATCCCTAATTAATTGGCTCTTCATAGTGTATGTTAAGTATTCAATGTATCGCTATTTATCTTCCGAAGTTGGTGAAATTTTTGTTCCAGTTTTATTGCTCCATGAGCATTGATTTTTTAATCCCTATTTGATATTTTCTTAATTGGAAATTCTTGTAAATAATTTTCTACACTTTTGCTGTGTTGTTTTGGTATTATTGCATTCTTTATTTTCTTTCGTTTCAAAGAATAAAAAAGTTATTTTCTCATATTGCCATTGACGAAAATTAAATCGTTTTGCTCTTTGTCTCTGCTATTTCATGCATCTGATATTTGCCACCTTCTTGTGTTTTTCTCCATTTGGTTTAATGTGCCATCAGAAAATGAACGGTTTTTATAAGTTACATCTAAAATGTATGAAATTTTTAATTATCTCCATTTTTTTTGTTTAAGTACAAATGTCAGAATATGACCTCCAAATTTATACAATTAAATAGAATCATAAATCTTTTCACCTTTCTAAAATTACACATGAGTTCAAATTGTCACTTCTTCATCACATAATAAGAAACACGGGTAATCATTTGTCATGAATTACATCATTTTCATTTGAAAATTGATGATTGTTTTATTTTTAATTTTTTATCTCTTAATCATAAATCTTGATATAAAGCTGAAACTAACTGCTTATGAATGGTGTAAAAAAGTTTGTTGCCTCTATAGTCCCAAAAACTCATTCCTCAGTCATCTAGTCCCATCCATTCTGGTAATCTTATTAATACTGATCCCATAGTTAATGTACTTAATGTTAATCTTTCAGATGATCGGATGAAGGTTTCAAAATATAACTTCAAGCTTTCTCTAATATGTTAACCTTCAGCAACCCCAAATCATTGCTACTGTTAAAAAAGTTTTTAAATTCAGTAATATTTGGACATGTAACAGTTAAAGTTGCAGTCCACTCCCTACTAACCCAATGTTAATTTCATTCATTTAAAATCTAAATCAAAATCAAAATAAGGTCATGTATGGAATTCATTCTAATCCAAAAATTATTTCCATTGTTGATAAGGTTGACGTATTGTTGTTATGGACAAACACATTGATAGAGTCGTGAAACTTATAAGTGAGAGCCTATACTGCTCAATCATTAAAGATCCTTCAGCTTTTGAGCTCTCGAAAGTTCAAGCAGCTGTTAAACCTTCTCATATATTCCCAACTCGGTTTTAAAATGAGTTTTTGCTATTTCACCTTTTGCTAACTGTGTTAGGTTTTATACCCTTCACAAAGTTCAGAAAATCTGAATTCCTTTTCGCCCTTTAATCTAGGATGAGCATTATGTGTTTTAGCCAAACATTTGGTTTCAAATTTTTCCGATTATTTTCTAATAATATTTAAACTAAAAGAATTTTTTGAAGTTGTGGATAAATTTAAGTTTATTTCTTCTTATCGTGTAGTTATGTTTTTGACGTTAGAAAAATTCTATTTTCAATTTTAATTCTTGATGAATTTATAGCACATCTTGTGAATGTGGTTTGAGAAATATCGGGGGGACTAAAACAGCGTTAAGATTTTGCATCAAGAAACATAATCTTATGTTCGAAAAAGAGAAATAAACAAATCTTTGATAATCATAGTTGGACATGTAATCACAGTTTTGACTTTAGTTCTGTGAAAATTATCTCTGTAACTTCATCTCTTAATTAGATTTCCATGAAACTATTCATGTTCATAAAATTTATCCTATTTAGTTAATGACATTAGTTGCAGTCCATTTCTTCCTAACACTTTAGCTTTTTATGTTTCAGTTGGTCATGTTTTATTAGTATCTTCATTAATAAGTTCTGTTACGTTCGTTTTCGCTTTGCTCCACTTATTTCGTTCGATGTAAAATGGTTGTGCTTCTTCTGTTTTTTGCTCCTGAAGAAGAGAGACACGTGTCCGATTGCCCTTGAAGTCGATAGAATTTTATTCAAAACCTGTGTGGAATTAAATATGACTTTTTTTGTGGAATTTTAAATTCGTTCAAAAACTGCTCGAGAAAAGTAGTAATTTTATGTCGATGTATTTAATTAGCAGCATAAATAATTAGACTTCATTTTCTGATGGCTCAATAATGTAATTATCTACTAACTGTGAAAGGGATTATAACAATTTAATTTTACATGCTGTTTCAAGACTTGATATAAAAAAAAAGTGCAATTTAAAATTGTTCATGTACTTAAAGCAAGGTTTTATGTCTCAGTCCTTTGGTTAGACATTTGCATGCCTCCTTTCTTGATGTTTCTAATTTTTTTGCCTTTCTTTTGCATAGAAAAATGAATCATCAGCCATCAATTTTGAATCAAAACTGGTTGGAAATTTGGTAAAAGGAGTGAAACCTCGTTACCATTTTGCTGGCTTTAGAAGCTTAGATTATGAGACTCTCGCAAAAAAGTAAGCTCCTAAAAGTACATTCACTTTTGTTCAAAGTTTAATTAATTATTTATTTATTGAGTTTAAAAGGGTTTTCTGAATTTTTTAGTAATATTTTTGCTTTATGTACCACTTTTGGCATACTTATTTCATTTCAAAATAATGGAAGATTAGGACCCAAGAGGGGTTATTTTAGTAAGTCTTCAATGCAATGTTAATACAGCATAACAGTTTTCCTTTTAAGACTTTCCATTAAATAGACACATTAGAGAAGCTGTAAAGTAGGCATATTCATATAAATTATGTTTAATACAAACTATTTATTTATTTATATCAATTACTTAAAAACATTGTAGCAAACTAATCGGTTTTTTATTTCGTTTTCCCCAACTATTAAATAGCTTTTCTTAGATTGATTAAAGGAGCATGATTTTAATAGCATTCTAAAGCTAAACTCATAATATAGTAAAAATGATCTTAATTGAAATGTTAAGACATTGTAAATATTCTCCATTATGGAAAAATTCCATTTAACTAAGCTGTAATAAAAATATACAAAGTACATTACATAGACATTATTATTATGTAGTTTACTTCTCCTTTATTATTTCCAAACCCAAAACTTGCAAATATGCCAAACATTGTAACAAATTGTTTAATTTTTTTTTAATATCTTCAGAAATCAAACTGGGTCTTCTGGATACTAGTTGCACATTGAGTTCACGAGCATTTCTTTAAAACTTTAGCCTCAGAAATTACATCAGACACATCTAAGTATTTCTCACTTAGGCAAAATTTTGTAGCAGTTTTAAATTTTCTGATTGTATCTTGAAAAATCTTTAAACTGCAGTGTGGCATTTTCCCAACTTCCTTCTATTATTTCTAGTTTTTTAAAATTCTGAATAACAGACCAGGTATTTAATGTGGAGGTGTTAATTTATGCGTTTTGGTCTATATTAATGCCAACCTCAACCTTGCATTTACGAAATGCAGTTTCATTCTTGCTGTTTAATATGTCTTTTAGGTGCTGATCTCTTCCTACATTAATACATAGCATTAATTTCACTTCTTTGACAGAAGTTCTGCTTTCTTTCACACATTTTATGAGTTTTTGTGGATGTCTTCATAATATAATGTAATTGTTGCATCTAGAACTAAAGAAGCTGTCACAATTTGTGATATTAACAAGGAACACAGTACATTTGACAGTGTATTTTTGCACAGTTAATGATATCTTGGTTCATTGGTTGAGAAAGGTTAATGGTGTTTAGAGGACCAACAGAATTTGGAAAATTCACTGCAGTAAGTGAGATGCATCCAATAACAACAAACATGCTGATTTTGCTTATTCATTCTTCTTTTTTAAAGTCCTTAATTTGTCCATAATATGCAACATCATTTGAGCCCTTATGTAGGATCTCTGTTCAAAATTGAGTTTCTATATATCTATGTTTTTTGAAGTAGTGAAGGTATTCTCTTTCAAGATAATAAAATTATGATTGAAAATTACAATCACTCAGTACCATCATTCCAAAATTTCCCAGACTTTTTTTCTGAACTTAAATAACCTGCTTTCTGTTCAATATTTTCTTGAATCTGGAAAATTATGAAATTGTGTTCTTTTGCTCTTCTCTGCTATTAGTTTTCTTCAGAATCTAAAATTAGTCATATTTCCTTCTTTCTTTTGGTTGTGGGTTTTTATATTTAGAGTAGGGAATGGATGCAATAATGCTTCATATTGACATCATTATTGCTTTTTATATATTCTACCTAAATTTTAGAAAAATGTATATATCTCTTTAAATACAAAATTCCCATTGGTTTCAGTGTGGCAATAATTAAAGCATGGCTGACAGATTTAAGATAATGTATTCTATAAGTGTTTTAGAAAAATACTGAACTTTTCTAATAATTGATATAAAAAATTACATTCTATTCCATGTTCTTATTAAAATAATATGGTGAAGATATAACTGGTTTGAATTCACTTCTGTGCAGTTGCCATTGTGTGCGTAATTGGAGCATTGTCTTATGATCAATTACTAGCTACTCCTCTTATGTCTCTGCAAATCAACTAACTCAAAATAAAGCTTCTAAACTTTATTTTGAAATGAAGTGAGAAAGCTGCTTAGTGACCTGAAATAAAATTTTGTATTTAAACAGAACATATATTTGCTGTCATGTTTAAAGCAACTGACAGTTAGTGCAAAAGTCCTGCAGCCTCTGTTTGTACACATACATAATCCCATCTTACCACATTTTGAAGAGCAGTACAAGTTTCAAACATAATAAATAGTGTGCCATTTTGAAAAAGAAATTCAGAACATTTTACAAGTATAAAAATATGATCATTTGAAAGTAATTAAAATTTTTTAAAGGTGAAAAATCATTTCCAAAAAGAATGTTTCTTGAAAGCACAAGGGGCCAACAAAACTTGGGATCATTTGGTTGTAGTATATCTGTTTCAACTTGTGCATCTTGAAGATAAAATGAGTTTATGGTGTGTTTGATGGTGTTCAGAGTCATATGTGGAGACAATTATGTATTATAAATCTTTTATTAAAAGTATGTTTTATTCCCAATCTAAGTGCAGAGTATAATGAAGGAATGTCTTGTTTCCAAGTTTCCTTGAAATGTAGATGTCATTTCTTACACTGCATTAGTCATTCCAAAATTACTAATATTTTGGTAGATTATTATAAAAGAAAGACCTAGGGAAACTATCATGTGAAATGACTTCATTATTATTCCTATGAGCTGGAAGCTTTATTTCTATAATTATGAGAGATTGATAAGTAAGCTGTAGTTCTGATGCTGCCGAGTATGGTGTAGTTCTTTTGTTATTGTAGTTCACTTGCACTTCAGGTTGTAAAATGGAGCCTGAAAAAAATGCCATTGGAGCTAAGTTTCCATTAATATACAAAATCCTTTCAATAAAAAAGGATGAAGTGTCCATAGTGGGCATAAGATTATAAAGAACGGATTGCGGATCAATGGGGTAGTCTTGTAGAGTGACAGAAATCTATTTGATAGTGAAAGCAGAAATCTGTTTAACAATGCTGCAATATTTAATGCCAGTGAAAGGAGGTTAAAACTACTGTAATGTTTAAAGAATAAAGCTTCCTGCTTTCGTCATAATTTTTTTTTATATTGTTGGATTTTATATTGTTTTTTTATATTGTTAGCTCGTGGAATGGAATGCCTAATATATACTCATGCTTGAAAATGCTATGTATTTAACACCTAATATATACTTCATGTCATTGCTTTATTCACTGGCATTTTCAGAACAAGCAAATTCATTTTTGAAGGTCCTGCAACATCTGTTTTAAACATATATATACCCATCTTAACACACTTTGAAGAGCAGTAGGAGTTTTAAATATAATAGTGTGTCATTTAAAACACATTGTAGAAAAAGGAATTGATAACTTTTTACAAGCTTAAATATGACCATTTCAAAGTAATTTTTATTTTTTAAAGATGAAACATCAAATTTGTCAAAATAGTATTTCTTGAAAACACAAGTTGCCAACAAAATTTGAGATCATTTAGCACACATCTCTAGTACATTTGTTTAATCTTGTGCTTCTTGCAGATAAAATGGGTCCATAGTGGATGTGATGATCATTTGGTAGTTAAGAGCCGTATGGAAAGACTATTGCATACTGTAAATCTTTCTTTAATTGAAAATTATATTGAGACTGTCATTTCTCATACTGTCATTTCTCACACTGTTATTCCAAATTGTTCCAAGGGCATATGGCCCTTAAAACAATTTGGAATAAATGGGAAAACAAAAACGTGAAAAAAATCCTTATTATATGATTCATGTTCATCCACCTGATTTCGTGAATAAATGCATGTGTGTTTATGCTCATGATTGCAATGTGGTGATCAAGGAAACAGTCAGATATCATTTGCACTGCATAAGGAAGGTGTAAGCTGAACAAGTTGGTATACTCCACACATTACGTGCAGTCAAAAATGAACAAGGGACATCTTGTTTTTTCGTTGCTGTCTCTGCACATCATATCCATATTTATTCTTTTGCTCATGAGTGACAAAAAGTGGTCCAGTGTGATGTCTCCAAGCATACCAGACATTGATTGGCAACACCTGATTATGTTCCTTACACCTCTGGACTAACTCTGCACCCACAGAAGATCATGCTTTGTGCCTAGTGGACTAGTCATTAAATAATGCATTAAAAGCTATTGACACCAGGCCACGCCATCACTGAGGGCCTATACTTTCAGTATTTGCTATGGAGCAACATGCATCACAGCAGCAAGAGTCAGAGTTGGTTAATTGGAAGTTTGTTGTACCTACATGACATTGGAATGGCAAGGTCGACCAGGGATACTATTCTGTGATTTGGCTGGGAGGTACTATGCTCGCCTGACCTAGTGCCCATAAATTACCACCTCTTCCATTCCCTGGACAATCATCTTCGTGGGAAATCTCTTTGATGATGAAACAGACATGCACCACACAATCACAGACTTCTTTGTATTCAAGACTTCCAAGTTTTACTGCCAGGGCATTGCATAACTGTTGGTAAAGGGTGTCAGATGCTGATGGAGATTGCTTTGAGACCTAATAATGAGTATCATGCACTGCTTGTTTCTGATGTTCACGAATGGCAGGAACATTTTGGTGGTCCTATTTTATTGTGATGAATATGTCTCATATCATAAAGTTATATGAACGTGTATCATATCACGAAGTAGATTTACCCAAAATGTAATGTTGTTGTTAAATTGAGTGGATGAATAAATAATAAATAAAAACACGTATACGATAATGCTAAACACACAAAAAAAGAAATAAAAAGCAAACAGTAATGTTTGCATAAATTGTAACGATATGTAATAAACTATTGCTATTTTATGTGATATCGTACAATACATTATAAGGGAGATTACCATTTTATTTGACATTTGTAAATAGAGCATCATATAAGTTGTGATGAATTTACATAAGGTATTAAAAAATCAAAAGCATTGTCTAATGAAGTAATGATTTGTGAAAATCCTGCAATTGTAATACATTGCCTTTGTGATTTAATTCATTCCTGGCCGTAATTAGAATGCATTATTTCTTAAAATAAGGTGTAACTATCAGTTTAAATTTGGCTTTCATTAAGGTATCACCATGGCAGTGCTATGTTACGAAATGATTGTTTTACCCTGGGTGAGAAAATTTGAAAGCTTTTATTTTTTTAAATTTTATGTTTAGTTTCAAAATTTGAAAGCATAATTTGAGGTTGTTTCAAAGAAGTGTGTATTAGCACATGGACTAAAAAAATAAAATTTCTCAGTATTTATCGTACTTTTGCATATGTAATAAAAGTTTTTTTTAAAATAAATATTATGACCTTTGGTATGTTTTATACTGAGCAAGCTTCTGTAGCAGATGACTTGAGTGCGAGCAATGAAAGCATCTTTTAACAACTGATTTTTTTTCTTTTATGTATTCTGGTAAGATATTTGGATGTATTACTTGGAAATTCTTTCAGAATTCTTATACTTTGGAAAGTTTAGAAATCTGTTTCAAAGCATTTGTTTGCAAGCTTCATTCAAATGTAATTTTTGCTGTACTTTATCTTTTTAAAGGAGCTTTGTTCCGATAGAATCGCCAGGTTCTCGTCCCACAAAATTTATTGGGTTAGCTCCCATTGGAAATGAAGAGCAATTGAAGGTAAGTAATTATTTCAAAACTTTGTAATTTTACTTTAAGTGTGGGAATGAGCTCAGAATGCCACTGAATTACAAATTGTTCATGAATATTTTCAGTCATTTATTATTTATTGCATTAATTTAATGATGTATGTATTTCTTTACTATTTTCAAAGCAAAAATGTACTGCAACACTAAACTATACTTAAAAATATATTATACTCTAAAAATTATACTTAAAAAAAAAGGAATATTTTTTGTACTTTGAAATAAAATTATGCAAATTTATTCTTTTATCTTTAATAATTTTTAGATATAATTAAACTGACATTTTTTATATTTTATGTTTCATAATTTTTAGATACAATTGAAATCTTAAATCTTATGCAATGCATGTGCATTGTACATATTTTATATAATCTATCTGTTATTAACAAACTAAACTATTTAAAAGCAGTAGATGCGTATCTTAAAAATATAAATTTTTTACTTTTAGTTTGATTGATTTAAGTAAAAATGCATTTAATTCATGTCTAAAAAAACATTAAATACTTTTATAGAATTACACATTTTTCTCTCTTTAAATATATGGAAGATATATAATGTTCCCATGTTAGACTAAATGTACACGCATGTGATATTGTATAGAATGCTTCACTATTCAACTTGAGCCATTTCTATCGTTAACCCGTACTGATAAACCATATTAAACTTTAAAAGTGGCCATAAGGGCGATCTTTAAAATATGAACCCTTTCAGGTTTTTTTTATTTTCAGGAGCAGGTGATTCATTTATGCATCCCATTCCTGTGGAAGTTTTATTTGCTATAATTTTTCATATCAGACATGCCTTGCTTTTACACCAAATTGATGGAGTTACCATACTTGTAAGGCAAAAATGACCTAAATAAATACTTATGCAATACACTGCATATCAATCAAGATTTTTATGCCATTCCTGCTACTTGAAGCAACTGTGAGAACCTAAGGCACTATCCTTGTAAGGTAAGAAAGGCTGGGTTGAAAGGGCTGGTCGCCCTGGCTAGTGGAGTGGCTAGTGTGAATGTGAATTCACGCTTGGCACTTGGCTTTGGTGTTTCTCGACTCCCTATTAAGCAGGAGGAGAGTGTCTGGGTGTTGCTATGCGATCAAGCCTTGCAGCTTAAGATATTCTAGAGAGCACCTGTTGGGCTAAGTCTCTCTTAAGCTTTGCATGCCATAGTAATACATTGCATATGACTTTCATACAAAGTTGCAAATGGAAATAGTGGTAAATTGCTCATTATTAAAAACTACCCATGAAATAAAATCAAAAGACATGACAAAGTATGTAGAAGCAGATCATAAACACATGAACACTAATGATTAATTAAATAACTTTTTAATAGTCTAAGATGTTTTTAGTTACAATATGAAAAAAGAAGCAATTCCAGTGGCTTTAGTAATGAAATTAAATTTGGAGAAAAATGTTAGTGTAATTACAGCACGTTGTGTTGAATCACATTATTGAATAATACTATGGGAGCACTAGTGTTTTGCTACCGTAGGCAAACCTCAAAATTGCCGCCCCCATACTTTAAAAACTTCAAATTAAAAAGAAAACAGATTTATAAAAGTGATATCCAGAAAAATACGATCTAATTGAATTAAGACAATAACACTCATTCAATATTTATGAAATTCTTTTTATTAAAAACACACAAACTTTGGAATTAGTACAAACGATACTTTTAAAGGAAAGAATAAAGACTATTAGTACAGTATTCAAAGTTAAAACCTAAATTAAAATAATCTCTTTCGAACCTTTTTTTTTTTCTACAAAACATGACTAACTTGTTTTGCTAATTTATTACTCAGTTCATGTTCAATGGCCAACATTGCTAACCCATTAAGACGATTTTGTAGACATTGTTATTAAGTATTTTTTTATTTTTAGTTTAGGAAAAGGTCTGTTGCTGGAAGCAACAGTTATGGTCGGGTTTGGCAAAATTTTTAAAGCAATGCTTAAATTTGGCCCAATGGTTAAGGGAGGTAATAAGTTTAAGAACGTTAGCTGGACTTTCTTTCTTTTTTAAAGTGAAGAAACAAGGTCCATTTCGTCATACGATTCTAAAGCATTAAGATCGGAGGTATCACCATGTGTTAAGACGTTTTCCAGATCTTTACAATGTACTAACACTTCATTTTTACGCATTAAGTTTGTGCACAGGGTATAAAAAGTCAAAAGAATGCTTGTGACTATTGAGGTTGAATCTCAGCTCCAGTGCACTGATCGCCTAATCTACAGTAAAGAGAAATGAAATTCTATTTTATATTTTTCTCTTGAATCTTGTATAGGTTGTTCTACACTTTCATCAATATGGAAGTCAACAGTTCATTGTTGGTGATGCCCATTAACAGCTGAATGGTAAAGCTTTTAGAAAAGTTTTAGCTAGTCTAAAGTTCAGTTTCTTGTACTGAGTTGCTAGCAGCATGTGATTTTTATGGTTTTCCTTGTGTATAGTGTAAACACTTGTCAATCTCACTTAGCTTTGTTTGGTTTATTTAATTATAGCAAAGCATTCGAGGGCTATCTACCTAAGGGGAGGTAATCCTTTGTGGAGGACTTTCCAATTGAAACTGGCTGGTATACATGTTACAAATGGGAAAAAACACTAAGACATCCATGCATCTATCCCGTTCGCTGAGATTCGAACCCCAAACCGATATACCTGTGTTCAGCGACTTCACCGCTCGGCCGCTGGTGGCCCAATTTCACCCAGGAAGCCCTCTCTGAGTGTCTGTTATGCATTGGTTATAGCCAAAAACATCGTGGAGGAAACAACTCAAAGCGAAAACATTGTGGTACAAAACAATCGTGGGAGAAAAAGAAAGCAAAGAGAAAACATCGCAGTTCTAAAACATCCTGGTACAAAATATCATGGTTGAAAGTTAAGCGGTTAAAAAACTTCGCAGTTTAAAAACGTTGTTGAAAACATCGTGGTAAAAAGTAAAGTACCTACAAATCATCGCAAGAAGATAACATCGCACATATGAGTTTTCAGGTTTAAAAAATTGTAATTGCATATTCCCATAATGATTTGGGAGCGCAAGAAGGATAGAGGGATATTTTTACTTCTACATGTCGTATTTTTGAATGAACTAAAAGATTTTTGCTGAAAAGTAAGAAGGAAATTTAAACATTTAAAAACTGATAATGAGTAGATTTACATAGTTAATTAAGAAATATCATTGATAAATTAATCTTCATTTATAAATTTGTACTGATAATTTTTCATGACAAGTGCGGTCTAATGCTTAGAAAAAGGAAGATAAATAACTACATGAGGTTAATTTAAAATGCTATTAAGTGTTATAAGTTGCATTAATTTTCTACTCATTTTCAAATTTTAAATGCTGAAGTTTTCTTCTTACTTCTTCAACAAAAATCTTTTAGTTCATTCAAAAATATGAAATGTAGAAGTAAAAATACCCGTTTCCTTCTTGGGCTTCCAAATCATTATGCGAATATGCAATTAAACTTTTAAAACTTGAAAACTCATCTGTGCAATAATGTCATCATGTGATGATTTGTAGATACTTTTTTTTCTACCACGATGTTTTTGATGATGATGATGATGATTTTAAACTGCGAAGCTTTTTAACTGCTTTATTTTCCACCACGATATTTTGTACCACGGTGTTTTAGAACAGCGATGTTTTCTCTGCATTCGTCGCCGATGTTTTTGGCAGACACCATGCATATTGGTCTTAGTTCTGTGTCTTCGTTAACGAAATGATATTAATTGCTAAAAAAGTGTACCAAGTGAAGTAGCTGTCTTAGGTAAAAGATATTAAATGCTCATGTAGCAGAGCTTCCATTTGTTCCAATTTATGCAGTTTATAAAAGAGACATGAGTTCAATCTGAAATTTTGGTTTCCGTTGTTTTATTTCTACCATTTCATTTTAATATCGAATTTTATTTTGATGGGAAAACACGTGGGTGGGAAACGGTGTTGTGAGTGCTTAAATATAGGAGAATTCTCATGCAAATTTAGCTAATCATAGATTAAGTGAATGATTGCAGTGAAAAGAAAATATTACTGTTTTCCAATTGTTTATTATAACTATTTCAATTTCACACTGAACAACATCCATCACAAAAAGAGTAATTTCTAGGCTGTGTAGGATTTGTCTTCTGGTGTGGAATATGCAGTCGCTTATTCGACATAAACTGGCAGACAGAACATAGGATAAGCAAATATGCCAAGTAATAGCGAGATATTACGAAAAAGCCAAATAATATTGAGGGTGATGTTAAGAAAAAACGTCAGAGTATGTTGTAATTTTATACATTACGAGCTCTGTAATCATATTTACAACAAAACAATAAATGTCAACTGAAAAATTAACTTACAATCACAAAATTGTCTGAAGTTAAATTTAGTCCTGTTATGATTGAAAACATTTTTGATGGTAATTTCTGCTTTCTTAATGAGTGCCGTTTCTTCATTGCCAAATCTCATCATCTTTGTAGCATCATTTTTTTTATTCCTGTAGCTTTTTCTTTTTGCTCAATATATTTAATTGCAGTTTCTAGAGTCGTGACTCCGTAATGTGAAATTCTGCAAGACGTAACAGTTGGTGCTTGATGTTCAGCTGCGTTTTCATCACAACGAACAAGAGCAGTGGCGTAGCTAGGGTGGGGTAAGGGGGACATCTGTCCTCTGGCACAGCATCCAGGGGGTGCAAAATCGATGTTATGAAATTTTAAAATGAAGTGTTTTTGATTCTTGGTGCACAGAAAGAGGCAGAAATTCTTCACTTGTACCCGGATGCTGAAAACTCTAGGTACTGAACAAGAGCTACAGTTTCTTCATCAATTATTCCATATTGATCATTGTCATTCATCCAACTTTCAATTTCTTGCAAAGGTGCATCTTCACATCCAGGAATACATTGCACTAAAGGTAGAATGGTTTCTTTGGTTTTTCCGTTTTCATACATACGCCTAGCAGCTTCTATGATTTGGCAATTGTTGTAGCCTATACGTCAGCCCAGGCCCATGCAACCCAATAAGCAACAACCTTTACATTGATGCCTTGCAGTTTTTCAATTATATCTTGTCATTCTTCAGTTTCTTCTATCACTGTGGACAGTAGCTTTCTGCAATAGTTCCTTTCTATTGTTTCCAAAACACCTGGGTCCAGAGGCTGGCATATGGCGATTATATTGGGTGAGGGCAGAAACATTGCTTTAATGTCACCATCTTAAAAACTAATATATATAATAATAGCATTACTAATAGCTGAATAGATGAAAACCAAAGGTAGTAACATACTGAATTTCAAAATAAGATGTTTTCACTCTCAAAGGTGCTCTTCTGAAAATATTTGGTTGTTATGCACAGCCTAGTGGAAACATAAGGAAATATATCACCTAGACTTTAACTTTTATGTTAAAATAAAACTTAGTTTTACCTCAGAATATGGTATTTAATTCTTTCTTACAAAACCTTTAAACACAACAAATATATATGCAGGGTGTATATGGAACACCTCCAAAATTCTGTATATTCATTATTTAGCAGCAAAACAGCTTTCCTGTGTTTTTTTCTTGTATGTATTGGCAACATCATTATTATGTTCGATGAAAAATTCAGCCATGAGAGAGTTGATGGTCTTTAAGCTTAAATAAAATAATTAGATTAAAAGATGGAGTAATTTAACTAAATACAAATTTACATGCAACATAACAGACTTAAAAAGCCGGTCTTGGAAAATTTCACTGCTTATCCATGTGACTTTCTGACTAAAATATTTAATGGGAAGAGCGTTTTTTGAAAGTGCTTTAAAGACCAAGATTTTGGGACTTTCCAATCATTACAAAGTCCATTTTAAAGTTAGTTCTAGCATTAGTGCATGCTAAAATTGTCAGCCTTTCTTTACTACGCTTATAGCCAGGGGCTGCCGCTTCAATTATAACTTCTTGACTCCATTTCATCAAAATTCAATGATAGTTTTTAATCACAAACATTTAGTTGAGAGATACTTTAGCTTGTTTTCTGTCAGTCAAGTCCACTGACACTTTCTGTGAAATCTGTGTTTCTCTTTATTGAAATCATTATGAAACTGTAAAACCTTTTGCTGTAAAATAGGCCCTGAAATAGGCCCACCTTTGTCCCTGCACTATATAAATCAAACATGCAAAGCATCACTTTCTTTTTCATAGTCACATTTCTCCTTTTAATGAACATTCGGTAACTCTTGATGCCCATAATTTTTCTGTTCCTATTCCTTTCCTTTTCAAGTGTCCTACTGGTATTTTTCAAATGCCAAAGTAATTGGCTACCTTTTGTCATTGTCTTGATTGCCATTGTCTTCTGCCTGTCTCTTGATTACCTGAAGTTTTTGTTCATCAATACAACCTTCTTTCTTTTCATCACCATTCTTTCTGTACTTGTTTAATTTCAACTTTTAAACACCACAACAGTGTTTATCAAATTGGACATCACACAGTACAATGCACAAACAGTAATAGACGATAAGCTCATCTGCATACAATGATAAACTGCACTGCACTGCACTGAATGACAGACAAATGAGTCATAGTGTAGACGAGCATGCCAAGCAATACAGTTGGGAGCAACAACAAAAACACTATGTTCACAACTTGCAGTTCTTGTTGCCAACCGATGCAATTTTTTTCTCCCGATTGTATGTCAGATAAGCGAGATTCTGCTGTAGATGCAAACTAGTTTTCTATTAGAAAGGACACTATGATGGCATGTGCATTATGTAATTATTTGATACATTATTTTTGTTTACAGAAAATTTGTATTTTGAAAGCTGCATTGAATACGTGTACTAGAGTTACCAGATTATCAAATCATTATATGATCTGAAAGGCTGCATGAAATCAGGAAAACAAAATTATCAAAGTTTTTATAAAAGTAAGCTATATGTAATATTATAAAGCAGTATTTAGTAAAAGCAGTTTGTAAAGCAAGTTACGAGAAAGAATGCATGCAACAAAGGTCTATTCTGGAATGTTCAATATTTTTGAACAAAATACAGATAATTCTTCTCATTTAGAAATGTATAGTGTTAGAGACGGTGCCAGCAAAGTCTTTGTAGCTACGTAGCTGAAAAATTTTGAGAAATAATGTTATTTTTTGACTCTGCAGAATTCTGTAATGTTGTTTTCTTGAATCCTGCAAATAACTAATATATAGAATAATAGTATAACTAATAGCTGAATAGATGAAAACCAAAGGTAGTAACATAATGAATTTCAAAATAAGATGCTTTCACTCTCAAAAGTGCTTTTCTGAAAATATTTGGTTATTATGCACAAGTGGTTATTTAGTGGAAGCATAAGGAACTATATCACATAGACTTTTATGTTAAAATAAAACTTAATTTTACCTCAGAATATGATATTTAATGATCTTTCTTACAAAACCTTTAAACACAACAAATTTATTTGCAGAGTGTTTGTGGAACACCTCCAAAATTCTGTATGTTCATTCACTTGTTCAAAGTAAGGATTATACCTTGTGCGAAAATGGAAACTTGGATAATATGCATGAGTATGAATCACTTCTGGTAGTGAAGCATTCTTCCGTGTGCACACATATACAGGAATATAAATACTACTTTGATATTTGTAACTATCCCAGGAATAGAGAGTCTGGCATGTAATGAGGTAGAGAAGCCCATGACTCATGCTGCATTTTCAGTAGAAGAGATATAAAGTCTAGAACATAGAAAGGTTTTTAAGGAAAGAGCAAAAATGAAAGTAGTCATGAAGATATAGGTGATAAATCATCTTAGCAATTACTTTTTTCCAGGATATCGTAGCCAAAATGTTCAGTGATTTGCATGTTTGGTAATGGTTGTTTTACTGAAGAACTTAGCATTAATTCTTTGAAAAATTCCTTCATATTATCAATTTCTAAATTTCTGGTGGAATAACGTTCTGGAGGAGAGACAAGGAGCGATTAGTTTGTTCATTAGTATTTTACTTTCCAGACTCTGAAGCTTGTTCAAGTTTCTGTCACAGGTTAAACACATCACTGAAAGTATATTGCTTAGAATAGACTTGATGACAGTAAGAAAGATTTTACATCTGATATGATCTGTTATAACATAATGCATAAAGAATATGCTGCAAAGGCCAGTAGTTAACCAAAAGTAGATTTTTTAATCACATCATTCTGTTGCCTTTTGCTGTAAGCTCCTGAATAGCTAAACCTAAAAATGTAACTGTTCTTCTATAAACATAAACGCCGGTTAAGGATTTATTAATAGAGCACAGGAACAGTTACGAAGAAAACGCACATCAGAACAGAACATACACTAAAACTAAACACCTAAGATTTACAATTAACACTTAAAATTAAAAGTTAGTAATTAAGGACACATACAATGAATGACCTATCCTCAATGTAGCTGGAGGTTGACTGACTCCACTAGTCGCTCTCTTCTCCATGAAATGGCATTTGATAAAATAGTTTGGTTGCAGTCAAAGTATTTAATGGTAGTAATTTTGTCAGCACAAATCTTTCCTGGAAGAAGTTGGTATCCAAAAGAGTATTTAAAGTTAGTAATTTTGTTTGCATCAACCATGCATAGGAGTTGGTATATACTTAACTTATTTGTAATATAAATGGGAACCGAACTTTCTTAAAAATATTTTTTGAAGGGGGCCTTTCTGAAAGAGGGTAGTGCCATATGCTATGTCATAATCATTTACATACTTTTACTATGTATTTCTTACCCTTTGTTTTATCAGAAAAATTTTGTTACTAAAGGCTTAGTCATATATTTTACTTATATGAATAATAATGATGGACTTTTTAAGTAGTTAATCTGATTTTTCTTCTTAGTTAGTTTTCTACTTAGTTGTTAAGTTATTTATGTGTCTGTAAACTCTGTATGGACTATGTGCATTTATTGTCCTGTATATAATTAAGCATTTTATATTTTTATCCTCTAGAACTTCTATGCTTTTAAAATGAAGTCATCTGTTCAAGATTCTACAGGTGAAGGATCATCCACTGGGACTAAAAGAGCATTACCATACCAAGTAAATATTAAGATTAATCTGCATATAAGTAGTATGCATTATGTTGCAATCAATGACATGATACTGATTGAAAATTGCTTAACTAGAGCTCGTAGGGCATTAGTATAATATATTTGCCACAGTTACAGCCTTTATCCTTCAGGGAAGTCTTTCCATGTTCTGAAAGTATTTTCTTTAATTCTTTCTGCAATATGGCAAATACATTTTGTGACAGTTTGATCTCGCTCTAACTTACCCCAGATATATTTGGTTAGGATGATTATAATTTTATAATATAATAATTTAATTTTATAACCCCGCGAAACAGACCGCTAATTCAAGCGTCACCGCATGAAAAGAAAAATTAATATCCACACTGCTGTCAACATGTTAATGAGGATAATTATAGAAATAAAAAGTACATAAAGAATTGTTTAAAAGAGGAATAAAAAGAATCATTCTATATGGTGCTCCTATGTGATGGAACAGGGAGGAAAAGACGGGAGTCAAAAGTATACAGATCCAAAGAGTGGCTTTGCTGTTTATCATTGATTGCTACAAGACAGTGTCGGCTGTAAGCATATAAGTTTTGGTGGGAGTCATACCCCTTGATTTAGAGGCATATTTAGAAGTTCAAACTTATTTTACACAGAATTTATGGAAGTTTAAATATAAGTGATATGGGTATTGGTATAAAAGAAACTATTGTCATCTCACAAGAACAGAAAGTTTTAAATGGAATAAAGATAGCTCACAAGGTTGTGGCTTAGAAATGTTTATTGACGTCTCGGTGATTACAATGCGGAGAAATATGAAGATAAAGTTTTAGATTAAATGAAATGTGTACATTCTTTGAGATTAACTTGTCAGCTTTCAAAGACTCTTTAATATGGGTGGACACCTGAATAAGAAAAGGCAATTTGGGAGATTGACCTGCCTCAATTTATACCGATTCCCAAAGTGTACTGCAGGCATTAAGAGTGGATTTTGAGAAACATGGATGTAGCCTTTTGGCAATAGATGGCACTGACCCATTGCACCTGTTTTCTGATGTCAGAATAATGGGTTGCTACCTTTGGCAGGATTCTCGCCAAGGTTAAAATAAAACTTTTTGCCAAAGAGAGTTGACACTAATAACCGGGGTAACCATAGCAACACCGTATTAGGATTTAAATAACACAATCAGTTAAGCTAAGAAAACCACCTGGAATACTTCAGAATGGAAAATTTAATTGCTTCATAGGGGGTCTATAGGCTTTTTTTCAAAGCAGAAAGGATATACATTCAGTGATCATCTTTCACTTATGCAATGTTAAGTGCTGTAATGAATTAATACTTTCTATTCGTTCATTGCCTTCTGTTGCGGCAAAGCCAGCGAACTATTAAAAATAACGTTACCCTTTTGTGAATGGCATCACTTACGTTTTTGTATTCATAAATGTTTTTTTGCTTGTTCTATATTTTATTTTTATGTTAGGAAATAAATAAGTATAAAATACTATCTCCTAATATCTGGTGCCAAAAAAATCATTTACAAAACAGGACCTTAAACTTATACTTCCTACTGTTGAATTATTCTTGCTGAATTATTTTACTTCCAACATTAAAATTTAGTTTTTTTTCCCCCCTGTTCTACTACTCGGGCAATGGCGCCAACCGGCGAAGCTGTAGACAAAATGACACAACTGAAACAAAAGTGAAAAGACGTGCGAAGTAATGTTTCTCGCTTTTCCACTGAAATTGATACTTTGAACAATCATATCTCAATTGAGAAAGGTGAATATATTTGTAATCGCTCAACAACTGCTTTAAATGATATGAAACTAATAGATAATGAAATTCACAACTTCCTTTCTGACGATGAATATGAAAGGGATAATTTGCAGTGTGAAAACTACATGATACTGGTGAATCCGCAATTTTCAAAGCACGAAAAATTATTCACAACAAATTATCGCCAACTGCAAATAATGTTACTGCTTCGAATATCAATTCAATGATTTAGCGATGACATTTGGCGACCCTTTTACTACAGCGCCTATGTCGCAATCATATACAGTTAAATTGCCAACAGTTAAACTACAATCATTTACAGGAGAAATTGAACAGTGGCAATGTTTTTGGGAATGGTTTAAATCTTGTATAAATGCCAATCCACATCTTTCTGTTATTGATAAACATGTTTTCCTCAGAGGTTATTTAGATGGTGAAGCTAAACGCCTTGTTGATGGAATTAGTGTAATAGGAGACACCTATGAAACAACAAAAAATATTGTTGGAGGAAAGATACGGAAATAAAGATCGTTAGAACATTTAAATGTTATTCAACACCCATCTCCTACACATCTAAATGAGCTTTACATAGAATGTAACAGAAGAATTCAAGCTTTAACTGCTCTGGGTGAAAATATTGAAGCATACGGTAGAATCCTAGTGGCAAAAATTATTCGTGCATTCTCCAATGATATTTATTGCCGCTCGATTATCTATGCCAAGCGTGAAAAAATAAACGAAGGTGATACAGTCAAAAGTCGTTAATTCAGACTCGTCGGGACTTTGGGAATTCCAGATTATCGATTTTTCCGGATTATAGATTATCAGTTTAAATCTCGTAAGATGGCATGCAGAAATTACAAAATAAAAAATATGAAACCGTAATTTATGAAATAAAGAACAATTATGATCTAAAGGGTATCAAAATTTACAAAAAGAAAAAGCTTAATATTTATTTGTTTACTTTACATTTCTTTCAATGTAAGTTGTTTAAGTTGCTTCATTTCATGTGACAATACTTTCTCTTTAATTCTATTAAACAGACATAATTTCTTGTTTAGTTACAAAGTTCCACTGTTCAAGTCCTATAATTGCTGTGTCGAGAATACCGACTAATTTGTCAATCGAAATGTTTTCGTTTTCAATAACCTCTCTCTCACTTTCTTCACTATCGGAAGAGAATTATAATGACGAGGAACTTGATTTAAATCATATCAGAGTACATCAAGATGAAATACTACATTTAGTAAGGAATTCTAAGCCAAATAGAATAAAAACATCTGCCCTGAAGATAAGGATAGTGCTGACAGATCAACTTCCAATTCATTGCGCGTTGCGGCGTTTTCTACCCCCCTACCGCAGAGCAGCGTGAAATTGATAAACAGATTTCGGATTTCAAAACATACTTTCGCTTTTTAGATCCTTTACATATTATTAAATATATATCGGAAATTCTATTTGACAAAATCGAAAGTTCAAGCTTACTTTTATAAAATTGCTCTAACAGTCTGCAAAAAATAATAAGCAGGATCCAATTCGAAGATTAAGGAACAACGCAATCTGCAACATTAACTGAATTAGATAATTTTAGCTTGGCTTATACCGTCCGTTATACATTAAACGCGCATGCGTAAACGTATTATGCTCTTGCTCACACGCATATTGACAGCCGTAAAAGTCTTACGCGCACGCGTAAACGCGACACATGCGCAGAAAGTTTATAGCTTTGAGGGCCGGATTATGGGTGTCCGAATTAATGACTTTTGACTGTATTACTAGATTGATACAGTTCTTGGCAGAAGAAGTGGAAGGTATAGTTCAGCACAAAGAATTAAAGGTATGTCTTTTTCTGATCACACCGTAAAGTGCACTGTAGAAAATTTTAATATCCATTCCAAAACAGTAAACAAACGTAAGAAAATTTCACCAGTTTGTGCATCTTGTGATACTACAGGACATTGGCTTCAGTATTGTGAAACTGTTACAGACTATGATACTTGTGTTCAGAAACTTAAAACTTCAAATCACTGCTTTCTGTGTACTAACCGTGGTCATAGAGTTTCAAACTGCCCAAGAAAAAATACTGCATGATGCACTAAATGCAAGAAAAGGCATCATGTTTCTATTTGTCCTCCTGTTGAAAACAATCAACTGCAGATAACTAAAAGTGCTGTAAATCACATAACCTTTCCTAAAACAATTTTCACACATTTGCAAACTGCTCATGTGTACGTTACCATCCCCACAGGCATTACTAAATTAACACGCTGCATTTTAGATGGTGGTAGCCAAGCAAGTTTTGTTCACACAAACCTCATTGAAAAACTTAAGCTTAACGTTGTCAGTTCAAGCATTTGAATCTTTTACTTCACAAGAACAACATAGATGTGTTCAACTGTCACTTTCAAGTTTATGGAGCAACCAAGCATTTTCGATCTCCGCATTTGAAAGCTCCAATTCCTACATCCTACTGCTCCACCAGAAATAGTTCACTTTGCTCAGAAGAAAAGATTGAGAATTGCTGATTGAGATTGACGCGTCACTGCCCATAGAAATACTTATTGGTGGTGATCATTATTGGCAAATTGTTTCCCACAGAAGCTCCAATCAAGCTTTTCAGAATCTTTTGTTATGGATACTGTCAGTGTTTGGATGGGTTCTTAGTGGAACAAGAGTACACATACTACAATCGCTGAGAAGACTTCTGTCCATCAAGTTTATGTGCAAGTTAAAACTGATTGTTTAAATGATCAGGTATCGCTCGCTTCTGGGAATTAGACTCCATAGGGATACAAGATGCGCAGAAAACGGAAGAATGACTACTCGCGATGAAGAAATTTTATCAGAATTTCACAAAACTTACAACACTGAAGACAATTGAATTGTGAATCTCTGCCTAGAAAACCATTGGTCACACCTTTGCCTACAAACAAAATTATAGTGGAAAACATATTTTATTCTCTTCAAAAAAGACTTGCATCTAGTGATGTGTTAAAGACACAATATGACAAGTGCATACTGAATTACATTGAACAAAAGCATGTTGAAGTTTGTTCCATAGATGAATCCAATGAGAAGCCAGTATATTATCTTCCTCATCATGCTGTAAGAAAGAAAACGCAATCTGAAACCAAGTGGAGAGTTGTGTTTGACGCTTCCTCGCATGCTCCACAGAAATTGTTTCCACAGAATGATTTCACTGAACGATACCTTGGAAGCTGGCCCGAATCTTCTTCCTGAAACTATTG